CGCAATTTTTCGGGAGCCATCCAATGCATAACATCTGTTACGCCCTTCATATCACTGGTTGGACCAGATGCCATACGGGAATAATTAAATTTTGCAATTTTTGGTATCAAGCCTGTAGCCATCTATTATAAATATTCAAATGGAAATGGATTCTATATATAAATCTATATAATTATATATTATTAGTAAAGTTATTAAATCTTACCATAATATGATCACATCGAATATCATGATGAAGAATATCACAAGAATGTAAAAATGTAAGGCCACGACAAATATCAAGAGCTATTTGTACTTTTCCATGCCATGCAATATCAAATTTACAATATAAGTCTCTGAGAGAGCCATATTCTGCCCATTCAAATACCATAACGTCTGAGTTTTCTGTATTTGAAAGACCATAAAATCTGATAATGTTGGGTGATTCTCGTAATTTTCCTAATATAGCTAGATGTCCTTGAATTTTTGAAGCTTCTTTAGGGTCATTACTTTGAAGATCTATTGGTTTGCAGGCGACCTCAAAATTTTTATACATTTTTTTGACAATCTGAGGACTTTTCCCTCGACGATCCGTTGCTTTTGACATCAAAGGATCATTCAATTCAGTTGGTTTTATTTCATTTGCTTTAATATCTTTAATATTATTATCTGAACTATCTGGATGATCCAATTTTTCTTTCATTAATGACACTTCATGAAGCACAATATTTATTTTTTGATTTTGGTCAGTTATGCCACCTTCTATTCTTTCCAAAAACTAATAATAATAACAAAGAATATTAGATTATTAGAAAAAAGAAGTTTTATAATATTCTAAAATTGAATTTGGATGTGAATTACCTTTTTCATATCTGCAACATCAGATTCGAGAGCCATTTGATCTATCCTTCTTTGTTCATCATTAGCAACGGCCATTGTAAAATGCAAGTCCTTCATTACTATATCAAAGTCACTAACAAGTGAATCAAATTTAATTTTAACTGAACCGGAATGTACAAATTTTTGGTAACCGTGTAAGTTCGATACATCACCGATAAATTTTTTAATTCGTTTCATTATTTCAACGAAACGAACAAATGATTTATAATATTCTTGATTACGAAAATTTTGTTCATTTTCAGTTTGTCTTCTTTTTAAAGTTTTGATGGCTGCTTCAGCAGCATTTACACGATCCATAAGTGAATTGCAGATCTTCTTATTATACTGGGCAGTTTCATAGACTGCAACAATTTCCGAAATTACGAGAGTTACAGCACCAATCAACGGCACAAAAGGTTTTACAGCCTCTCCAATAGCACCCACAGCACCCAACGTATTTTTGGCTATATCAAGATTACTAAATCTACCTATGGTATCAAGACTTTCTGCGACTTCAACTGTTGTAGCCAGCGCTTCAAAACTCATTTTCTTTTCTTTTTAATTAGAGATATTTCAAAAATAAAATTAAAAAATGAAATTCGGATAAAGGTTAAAAAAAAACCGTATTTTATAGCGTTTTGAAACGTAGGACAAGAAAGAATTCGTACATTATCATTATTTATGAAATATTGTATTGTTCATGCCGTGCAAAGCAATTTAGTCAACAATGAGATATAAAGACGGTCACAATGCATTGCATTAGCCATATTTCTTTGTTAATAACAGTGTCACAATTATTATAAAACAAATATCGGATCAGATATAGCAACAATAAAAGAACATAAGCTATTTAATTATCCAAAAAGAGTTATTATCTTAGTTTCTTCTAACCAGAAAGTTATGAAAAGAAAAAAAATATATAAAATTTCAACATTAAGTCGTTTCATTGTGCCATATATTTTTTTTGTAAAATTAGTTGCAATGCATAACATAACCAGAAAAATAAAAATTATTATTTCTACAACACATTTTTAGGAATAATCTTTTGTTTTATATTTAAAATGGAAATTATTAATTGAATTCCTTTAAATAATTTAAATACATATTAAGAAATACATAAATGCCTTCTATTTAAACAGACTTAAATATTTGGTTTTTAGTTTCGAGCATCTTTAGCATTTTTATCTATACCTTTAAAGAAAAAAAAAAGAATAATAAGTAAATGGAGAACATAACGTAAACATCAGAATTCATAAATTTTTTATACAAATGTAGATTGAAATTTATTTGTTGAAATTATATCTCCATGTAAATATTAAATTATATTAAATAAAGTAAATATCATATTAATATCTATTTGTTTGAAAGAAATATCTTATAATTTAATGAATCAAATGATACATTAATTGTTGAAATGTTATAACTTAAAAAATATACAAAAGAGTATTAAGGGAGAGGAATTTGATGATATTATACTAATTTACCATTGAGCCAGAAAAAAATTGAAATGCTAGGCAAAATCAAGCAAATAAATATTCAAATTAAACCTTCTAAATTGAGAATAAGAAAATACACAAGCATGTTACTTTAAAACAGTTGTCAGAAAATGCTATTTATAATATTTTAACTCGTGGTCCGTGTAAGAACAGGACAAATTTAACCGTAAATTATAATAGAAAATGGGTTGTTTTTTTAAAAAAAAATAAATAATATCAATAAAATATGCTGTTAGAATCAAGATAAATTTTTCTTTAATTTAGAAATAATTTTATATAAGAAACAAAAATTTATTTGTTAAATTTACGTTTTTTGGATTCCGTTTTGCTAACAAATATACATATCTCCGATTTTTAATAATGAAATTGTCATATACCCATCTTTTTTTAAAAAAAAATTAAGATCGATCAGTACTCATTAATCCCCAATTTTTGTAAAAGCTCTTTAGCTTTGGGTTGATCATTGAGAGCTGCCAATCTTAAATATTTTTTACCTAGTTCTTCATCCTTTTTTTGATTAAGTTTACCATAAATATACACCTCTCCCAAGTTAAATTGTGCAGTGGGATTATTATTATCTGCAGCTTTGGTTAGATATTCTAAAAAGATTTTACGATCAAATTTTACTGGTGGATTATTAACTAATGAAATTGCGTAACGTAATTGAGCATCTGGGATTTCATCATCAGCATCATCAGCTGCTTCTTTAAACAACTCACTAGCCTTTTTACGATCTTTCTCAACTTCAATTCCTTCCCAAAAGTAATATCCTTTCCAATATTTTGCAGTTGCATTTCCTAACTCTGCATGCGCTGAAAAACATTCCCAAGCTTTTGTATGTTCTTTTTTCCTATGTGCTGCAATACCTTCTTCGAGAGGAATTACTTGTGCTATTTCATCAATATTAAAATCATCCATATACATATCCGGTAAATAAAAACCACCTTCATCACTAATGGAAACTGCAGATCCATCTAAATCTAATGCCTTATCAGGTAAAAGTTTAGCTTCAGTTTCTTTGCCGGTGCAATATTTACCAGCTAGTTTATCCAATCTCATAAAAATATCTTGAAGAGATGCTCGAATTGCTAGGTCGCCTTCCCAGGCTTTTCATATAAAATATTAATGATGTAAGATTTTTTTTACAAAACAAAAAAGTTAATAAACAATAGTAACAACAATAAAATAGCTTACCAGACACAATGATTTTCGCCATGTTTTTTTGAAGTTCTCGAACATCTGGTGGAGCCTTTCCCCATGTGATTTTTTCTCTTTTACCAGCTAATACGTGTTCTTTAATCTTCAATATATCCCATTTTTCGTATGGAATTTTTTCGAAAACCAGTTCCCAGAGTAACATACCAAAACTAAATATAATAAACAATATAAACAAATAATCCAATAAACAAATAAACCAAGAGATTACCATACTGTAATTATTACCTGAAAATCTCGCATTTGATAGTATAAGGAACAGGTTTTTTTACAGAATCACGCAATTTTTCGGGTGCCATCCAATGCGTAATACCTGTTACATCCTTCATATCACTGGTTGGACCAGATGTCGTACGGGAATAATTAAATTTTGCAATTTTTGGTATCAAGCCCTCATCCATCTATTTTAAATAGAAATTCAAATGGAACCTATTAAAATATATATATATATATATTATTGTAAAGTTATTAAATCTTACCAATATATGAGCACATCGAATATCATGATGAAGAATGTCACAAGAATGTAAAAATGTAAGGCCACGACAAATAGCAAGCGCTATTTGTACTTTTACATGCCATGCAATGTCATATTTACAATACAAGTCTCTGAGAGAGCCATATTCTGCCCATTCAAATACCATAACGTATAAGTTTTCTGTATTTGAAAGACCATAAAATCTGATAATGTTGGGTGATTCGTATAATTTTCCTAATATAGCCAGATGTCCTTGAATTTTTGCAGCTTCTTTACTATTTTGAAGATCTATTGGCTTGCAGGCAACCTCAATACTTTTATACATTTTTTTGATAACCTGACGATTTTTTCCTCGGCGATCCGTTAGTTTTGACACGTTAGGATCCATCAAATCAGTTGATTTTATTTCATCTGCTTTAATATTTTTAATATTATTATCTGAACTATCTAGATGATCCAATTTTTCTTTCATTAATGACACCTCTTGGAGAACAGTATTGATTTTTTGATTTTGGTCAATTATGCCACCTTCTATTCTTTCCAAAAACTAACAATAATGAAAGAATATTAGATGATTAGAAAAAAAAAGAAGTTTAATATTCTAAAATTAAATTGGGATGTGAATTACCTTAGTCATTTCTGCATTATCAGATTCAAGAGCAATTTGATCTATCCTTCTTTGTTCTTCATTGGCAACGGCCATTGTAAAATGCAATTCAGTCATTACTTCATCAAAACCTTTAGCAAGTGAATCAAATCTATCTTTTACTGAACCGGAATGTACGAATTTTTGGTATCTATTTAAGTTTGATACATCACCGATAAAATTTTTAATTCGTTTCATGATTTCAACGAAACGAATAAATGAATTATAATATTCCTGATTACGAAGATTTTTATTTTCAGTTTGTCTTCTTTTTAAAGTTCTGATGGCTGTCCCGGCAGCATCCACACGATCCATAAGTGAATTGCAGATCTTCTTGTTATACTGGACAGTTTCATAGATTTTAATAATTTCCTCAATCACGAAAGTTACAGATGCAATCAATGGCACAAAAGGTTTTACAGCCTCTCCAATGGCACCTACAGCACACAACGTATCTTTGACAATATCAAGATTACTTCCTATAGTAGCAATGCCTTCTGTGGCTTCAACTGTTGTAGCCAGCATTTCAACACCCTTACTCATTTTCTTTTGTTTTTAAATAGATATTTAAAATAAAATTAAGAATGAAATTCGAATAAAGATCAAAAAAAAACAAATTTGTGGTATTTTATATATCGTTTTTGAAAACGTAGAATTTATGCATTGTCATTACTTGTATTTTTCATGCCGTGCAAAGCACTTTAGTCTATAAAAGACGAACACACTGCATTGCATTAGCCATATTTCTCGTTAAAAAGTGTTACAGTTACATTTCTGTTATTGTAAATCAAAATATCGGAGTTAAAAGGAACAGATATAGCAACAATAAAAGAACGATATACTATTTAATTTTTCAACATTTGATCCATTGCGTCATATTAGATTTATTTTTTTTTCTCAGTATAACTTATTTTTTGAAGAAATAATATTTTGTTTTTATATTTTAAAATGGAAATTATTAATTTAAATTCCTTTAAATAATTTTTAATATGTATTTTAAACTTGGTAAACAGATTAAATATTGGGTTTTGTTTTATATATAAAGAAAAAAAAAGAATATTAAGTAAATGGAGAACATAACGTAAACACCAGGATCAATAAAAAATAGCATGCATGAATAAAGTCATCCATAATTTTTTTTTTATAGATTGAAATTTTTTCGTTGAAATTATAAATATTAATTCGTGATCTGAGTTAACTGCAATAAATCATATAATTTTGGTGCAACTTTTTTTCAATAACTAAATAATTTTTATCCTTAGGAAATGGTCCAAAATGTCAATTACTGTTTTAAGAATCAACAGAAACCAAAGGAGATTGATATTCTCTCATTTACTCATTATTTAATATGTAATTGGAGGTGTTTTGATAATTGGATATGGGGTTTCTAAGAATCGCGAGATTCTCAAATTGAATAAAAAGTATAGTAATTATTATCACCAGATATCTTAACAATGATCTGCACTTAACTCACAATTAATATCCGTTTATTGAATGAAATATCTTATAATTTAATGAATCAAATGATACATTAATTGTTGAAATGTTATAACTTAAATAATATACACAAGAGTATTAAGGGAGAAAGGAATAGGGGAATTGATGATATTATGTATTAATGACTAATTTACCATTGATCCAGAAAAAAATTAAAATTTAAATGCTACATTTTTTATTCATCATAAATAACAGATAAAATTACTAATTATTCTTGAATTTTTTATTTAAGTCTGGCGAACTCAAGCACTATATTTCTAAGCGTATTTCTCTGAGAAGAGCTTTAATTTTGCTAGCCAAAATCAAGCAAATAAATATTCAAAATTAAAACTTCTAAATTGAGAATGAGAAAATACACAAGCATGTAGCTTTGAAACAGTTGTAATGGTTATTTATAATATTTAATTCGTGATCTGTGTAAGAACTGGATAATTTCATTAATTGGGGATATATACAATATAATATTTATTAGCAAAACGGAGTCCAAAAACATAATAAATTTAACAAATAAATTTTTGTTTCTTATGTATATAAATAATTTTTAAATTAAAGAAAATTTATTTTGATATTTTACTGATTTTATTTTTTTTAAAAAACAGCTCATTTTCTATTATTATTTACGGTTAAATTTGTCCAGTTGTTTGCACGGATCACGAATTAACCCAGATGGTAGATCCCCGAATTTTTGAACATATACCCATCTTTTTTTTAAAAAAAATTAATATTAGTACCCATTAATCCCCAATTCTTGTAAAAGCTTTTTAGCTTTAGGTTGATCATTGAGAGCTGCCAATCTTAAATATTTTATGCCTAATTCTTTATCCTTTTTTTGATTAAGTTTACCATAAAAATACACCTCTCCCAAGTTATATTGTGCGGTGGGATTATTATTATCTGCAGCTTTAGTTATATATTTTAAAAATATTTCACGATCAAATTTTACTAGTGGATTATTAACTAATGAAAATGCATAATGTAATTGAGCATCAGCGATTCCACCATTATCAGCTGCTTCTCTAAACAATTCACGAGCTTGTACACGATCTTTCTCAACTCCAATTCCTTCCCACAAGTAATATCCTTTCCAATATTTTGCAGTTGCATTTTCTAACTTTGCATGGGCTAAAAAACATTCCCAAGCTTTTGCATGGTCTTTTTTCTTATGTGCTGCAATACCTTCTTCGAGAGGAATTATTTGTGATATCTGTGATATTTCATCAAGATTACACTCCATGCACATGTCCGGTAAATCCAAACCACCCACATCACTAACGGAAACTGCAGATCCATCTAAATCTAGTGCCTTATCAGGTAAAAGTTTAGCTACAGTTTCTTTGCCGGTGCAATATTTACCAGCTAGTTTATCCAACTTCATAAAAATACTTTGAAGAGATGCTCGAGTTGCTGGGTTGTGTTGCCAGGCTTTTCATATAAAATATATAATGATGTAAGATTTTTTTTAAAAAACAAAAAAGTTAATAAAACAATAGTAACAACAATAAAAT